TGGCTACTAAAGATGATTTCTTATCATGAAGCGCTATTTTCACCCACCACAGGGAAGAGAAATCAATTTTCAGTGTCCTACTTGGGATTAAAATTAAACAGAACAAAATCTTCCAGGCCATCATGTAACAGCATCTCCACCCCAGCAGAAAATCTAACCCTTCAGTGGACTTCTCCAATTGATTGCTATACTGACGTTTTTTGTTTTTCTTGTAAGTGTAATTGACAAACCATTACATACACAACTGAAAAATGAAGGCAAAAGAGATCTTCTGTTGCCAATAGAGAGAAGCTTTCTAGCAGAAACTGGCCAAATGGAGAGGATGTAGTTCTTCCAAAACCAAGCCTCAAATAGAGGCAGTGGCATCTAATCTTACACATGCTTCTAATGTTGTACCAGATGAACGAAGACTCACCAGCAGGATACTGAAGGGCAGCAGATATTCGACATATGGATGGTATTGCTGATGGATCCCGGGCACCTGCTTTTGCAGTTAATATAGCAGCATTCTTTTCTGCAGCAGCAACAGCTTCAGGTCCAGTAGACCCACTTGCACCCATGGACTCCAATAGTGCCTGATAAAAAATTCATTAACAGTTATATACACAGGAGTGCAAATGGGATAACAAAATCAAGGGTGGGAGTGCACTGAAGATAATTAAATCAAGGGTACTTAGGTAGCTCCCCAGTGAAAGCAGTATTTCCCTGGTGGTCTAATCCTACTTTACCACCAGACTAGTCCAGTTCTGCTCAACATAAAGCACCTCTTAATTTGTTTTCCTTTATGAGTATTCAATTTGAAATATAGTGCAGGTTTCTTTTTACTTCTTTTGGGGCAAACCCAAGCTTGACATTCAAACTTCAATATCTCTCTCTCTCTCTCTCTCTCTCTCTCCCCATTATGTTCCAACGCTTTTTCCCACAATACAGTGTCCAGAAAACAGATCCAGAAGGTGAACAAGAAAAGATATAATGTATTTTCAAGCCAAATAACAAACAGAAAAACTTCTGAATAACCAAGACCTTAAACATATTACAGCAGTCATATATGTTGAATATCATAGTCAAATTAACTAATGAAAACTTGATAATGGAAAGAAACAGATTTATTAACTTTTACTTTTTTTTTTTTTAGAACCAAACATATTGATCAGTAGAACAATCAATAACCAAGAATATTTAATAACGATAAAGCCACATATTGTAGTAGACAAACCTGTGGAGTTGCTGGAAGCATGTAGAGGCTATTATCAGGACTTTGATCAAAAACAGAAACTTCTCTTTCAATAAGATCTTTTGCACTATTTGAAAGATCCATAACTATTGTGCATGCTGGAATAATAGTGGTTGATGCATACTCCCGTGCGGCTAATGGCTGCTGATTCCAGAACACAGCGGCATCCTGCCAAGTTGACAATATAATATTAGAAAGTATCTACGACGAAAGGAGATGGAGAAGTAGTATACTAGCTGCCTTTATTGAAGTATACATGAATACCAACTGAAAACTATGCCACTGGTGATATCATTTGTGTATCAGTTCCAAGGAAATTGAAGTGCCCCATGGTGAGCTAAAAGCCCAGACCTATAGGCATAAATAGGGTCTTTGGGCATCATGATAAATATGGCACAAAAGTGGATACTGAAATTTTATTAAATAAAAAAGAAAGTCCATCAACTTGTTGGGGTGAACTTTCATATGGAACTCAAAACAGAATGAGCCGACAATTTCACGGAATGACCAGAAATGGCCAATACAGTACCATTATATGAAGTGACTTGCAGTTTTAGACGCATTAATGAAGCTGAGATAGCTTACCATGTTTACTTTTAGTAGAGCACTGTATATGATTTCAAGTTCCGATCTGCGGGAATCAAATTCTTCAATCTTTTTCCACTTCTTTTTCAATGAATCTTCAGCTTCTTTCCTTTCTGCACATAATTTATTCAAGCGTTGTATTTCAGACATCAGCGTATTCAAGCTAGCCCTCAAGCCAGCAACTTCTCTTTCCTTGGTCCAAACCTCCAGCTACACAAATAATAGGGAAGAATGGTAAAAACAACACACCAAATGATAATTAACTACAGACCAGAAATAAGCTACCATAGAGTACCCAAATGACTTTTTATGACATTCAAATCAACAAGGATCAAAATACTGAAACTAATCACACCTCTCACCATTGGCACTATTTGCACCTAAAGTATTGGTAATTTAGCCCTTTAATATCCAAGAAAGATTTACCTCAAGTTGCCTAAGACTGCCCACATTTTGTGATGTGCCTGAAGAAACTGCGTCACTATTTCCATGCAAGCGTTTTATAAGTTTTTGACACAGATCCCTAGCTTCTGCAGCTTTGTTCAGTGCATCTTCAGTAGCCAAAAATTGCTGAACATGTGCTTTCTGTGAACAACATATGCAAAATAACAATTTTAAACTCCTGAAACAATGCATGATTCGTAAGACAAAACAAAAGCAGAAAATGTAGGGTGAAAATAGAACCCAACTATGATTTCGTTTATTGACCAAAAAATCTATGCTTCAGTATGAAAAAAGAATGGTCTTAATGGAATTAGGGTTTCGGCCGACTATTCTTTATAGGGGAAAACACATTAAAGCAAACGCAAGAGTAATGTATATCCATGTAGTGAAAAAATGAGAATATTAAGAAGAATGGCATAAGTGACTAGATCATAATTAAAAATCAATGTAAAGGCTACTATCTAGAAAAGAACATAACCTGTCGTTCAAGAAGTTGAGTTCCTCTAGAAGGTGCATCAACTCCTATCTTTCCATTACCATAAAGTTGATAGTGTAATGGTGAACTCACATCAGGAGAAGAAACATCAATAACTCGGTTGTTCTCATACTTGTACCTGATTAAGGAATTGAAGAAACGTGAGTCAAGGATATGGAGAAGATACGAGAATTCAAATACAAGAATGATCAAATTTGAAAATACAGCATGCAATTATTATTTAATCAAGCACTGCAAGTATTCCTGATAAGAGAGGGAGGGGAGACCATATTATCCACAAGTATTGACTCAGGAAATATTAAATTAAAAAACCAAGAAGGAATATCGTAGTTGAATAGCCTTGTCTGTAGAAGCTTAGGGAAACATTGACAGCACATAAGAAATGTGAAGGACAAAATGAAATAAGCTTTATGTCCCCAACAGAAGTGACAAGAAAGTGTTTACCTTAAAGTTTCTGCATCAGCTCTAACATCAATTTTCTCTATTTCTCTGGAAATTAGAGATTTCAACCGTGATGTGTATGAAGTAACTGCCTGAAGCAATTGAGGAGGACTCTTTAACCCATTCACAATCGCAGCTCTAACCTCATCAGGTAATTCCCCATCAAAATAAAAGCCTAACTTGGCTGTTTCTAATTGAGGATTCAAATGAACACCACTTCCTTCATATGCAGGAAAAGAATTCCGAATCTTTTCAATCATATGTGCTGCAAGAGATTCACAGGCCTTCCGGATGTTTCTTTCCCGAGTGGTTTCAATAAGAAGTACATCATCTGCTGCTTTACTGCCCTTAAGAGTTGAATAAACAGCTTCCTTTTCACTGCTTGAACTAAAGCTGTTAACCAATTCCAGAGATGAATCAACACCTGACCTTTGAGCATCCCTTGCTTGATTAACATAATAACGAAGACGTTTATGATACTCTGCAAATATCTTTTCCGCTTCATCACACTGTTGATAGTAAGCATCCAACATTACCTGCTTATGCCTGCATTATGATCAAGCATATATCAATAGAGTCCACCTTGAATGACTCGGAACAAGTGTTAGTCTCATCAGAACATGCTTCACATCATTTTTAGCTTATGAAACTATTCTCAAACAAACCTTGCAAAGAGGAATAACATAGCGCCTACACTCTAAACCAGTCATATAGTTCATGTCTTTCTGATAACGATGATGATCACATATAAGAATTTTGCATACTTTCTTTCAGAAAGAAAACAAAACAAGTTTTCAACTGAATTAAATTATATACTCAGGATTATGCCAATGATCCACAAAAGCCCAAACCTTTTTTTAGAGCGTTCATCAAGCATCCTCTTCCGTTCGGCCTCTGCCCTTGAAACCTCCAACATTCTGGCCTTCAAATCCTTCCTTTGTCTCTTCACAATGTTCCTCAACTTCTCCACTTCCCTTGACGCCAAGTCCCTCTCTTGCAGCGCAGCCTCCCTAGTCTCTGCCGCACTCGAACCCTCCCCAAGCTTCTCCTTTCTCCTACCTCCTTTACTCCTTACGCCCTCCTCCTTCCCCGATTTTACCAATGCACCACTATCGCCGCCACCGCTGCCGCCGCCATGCAGCTCCCCAGTGAAAGCAGTATTTCCCTGGTGGTCTAATCCTACTTTACCACCAGACTAGTCCAGTTCTGCTCAACATAAAGCACCTCTTAATTTGTTTTCCTTTATGAGTATTCAATTTGAAATATAGTGCAGGTTTCTTTTTACTTCTTTTGGGGCAAACCCAAGCTTGACATTCAAACTTCAATATCTCTCTCTCTCTCTCTCTCTCTCTCTCCCCATTATGTTCCAACGCTTTTTCCCACAATACAGTGTCCAGAAAACAGATCCAGAAGGTGAACAAGAAAAGATATAATGTATTTTCAAGCCAAATAACAAACAGAAAAACTTCTGAATAACCAAGACCTTAAACATATTACAGCAGTCATATATGTTGAATATCATAGTCAAATTAACTAATGAAAACTTGATAATGGAAAGAAACAGATTTATTAACTTTTACTTTTTTTTTTTTTAGAACCAAACATATTGATCAGTAGAACAATCAATAACCAAGAATATTTAATAACGATAAAGCCACATATTGTAGTAGACAAACCTGTGGAGTTGCTGGAAGCATGTAGAGGCTATTATCAGGACTTTGATCAAAAACAGAAACTTCTCTTTCAATAAGATCTTTTGCACTATTTGAAAGATCCATAACTATTGTGCATGCTGGAATAATAGTGGTTGATGCATACTCCCGTGCGGCTAATGGCTGCTGATTCCAGAACACAGCGGCATCCTGCCAAGTTGACAATATAATATTAGAAAGTATCTACGACGAAAGGAGATGGAGAAGTAGTATACTAGCTGCCTTTATTGAAGTATACATGAATACCAACTGAAAACTATGCCACTGGTGATATCATTTGTGTATCAGTTCCAAGGAAATTGAAGTGCCCCATGGTGAGCTAAAAGCCCAGACCTATAGGCATAAATAGGGTCTTTGGGCATCATGATAAATATGGCACAAAAGTGGATACTGAAATTTTATTAAATAAAAAAGAAAGTCCATCAACTTGTTGGGGTGAACTTTCATATGGAACTCAAAACAGAATGAGCCGACAATTTCACGGAATGACCAGAAATGGCCAATACAGTACCATTATATGAAGTGACTTGCAGTTTTAGACGCATTAATGAAGCTGAGATAGCTTACCATGTTTACTTTTAGTAGAGCACTGTATATGATTTCAAGTTCCGATCTGCGGGAATCAAATTCTTCAATCTTTTTCCACTTCTTTTTCAATGAATCTTCAGCTTCTTTCCTTTCTGCACATAATTTATTCAAGCGTTGTATTTCAGACATCAGCGTATTCAAGCTAGCCCTCAAGCCAGCAACTTCTCTTTCCTTGGTCCAAACCTCCAGCTACACAAATAATAGGGAAGAATGGTAAAAACAACACACCAAATGATAATTAACTACAGACCAGAAATAAGCTACCATAGAGTACCCAAATGACTTTTTATGACATTCAAATCAACAAGGATCAAAATACTGAAACTAATCACACCTCTCACCATTGGCACTATTTGCACCTAAAGTATTGGTAATTTAGCCCTTTAATATCCAAGAAAGATTTACCTCAAGTTGCCTAAGACTGCCCACATTTTGTGATGTGCCTGAAGAAACTGCGTCACTATTTCCATGCAAGCGTTTTATAAGTTTTTGACACAGATCCCTAGCTTCTGCAGCTTTGTTCAGTGCATCTTCAGTAGCCAAAAATTGCTGAACATGTGCTTTCTGTGAACAACATATGCAAAATAACAATTTTAAACTCCTGAAACAATGCATGATTCGTAAGACAAAACAAAAGCAGAAAATGTAGGGTGAAAATAGAACCCAACTATGATTTCGTTTATTGACCAAAAAATCTATGCTTCAGTATGAAAAAAGAATGGTCTTAATGGAATTAGGGTTTCGGCCGACTATTCTTTATAGGGGAAAACACATTAAAGCAAACGCAAGAGTAATGTATATCCATGTAGTGAAAAAATGAGAATATTAAGAAGAATGGCATAAGTGACTAGATCATAATTAAAAATCAATGTAAAGGCTACTATCTAGAAAAGAACATAACCTGTCGTTCAAGAAGTTGAGTTCCTCTAGAAGGTGCATCAACTCCTATCTTTCCATTACCATAAAGTTGATAGTGTAATGGTGAACTCACATCAGGAGAAGAAACATCAATAACTCGGTTGTTCTCATACTTGTACCTGATTAAGGAATTGAAGAAACGTGAGTCAAGGATATGGAGAAGATACGAGAATTCAAATACAAGAATGATCAAATTTGAAAATACAGCATGCAATTATTATTTAATCAAGCACTGCAAGTATTCCTGATAAGAGAGGGAGGGGAGACCATATTATCCACAAGTATTGACTCAGGAAATATTAAATTAAAAAACCAAGAAGGAATATCGTAGTTGAATAGCCTTGTCTGTAGAAGCTTAGGGAAACATTGACAGCACATAAGAAATGTGAAGGACAAAATGAAATAAGCTTTATGTCCCCAACAGAAGTGACAAGAAAGTGTTTACCTTAAAGTTTCTGCATCAGCTCTAACATCAATTTTCTCTATTTCTCTGGAAATTAGAGATTTCAACCGTGATGTGTATGAAGTAACTGCCTGAAGCAATTGAGGAGGACTCTTTAACCCATTCACAATCGCAGCTCTAACCTCATCAGGTAATTCCCCATCAAAATAAAAGCCTAACTTGGCTGTTTCTAATTGAGGATTCAAATGAACACCACTTCCTTCATATGCAGGAAAAGAATTCCGAATCTTTTCAATCATATGTGCTGCAAGAGATTCACAGGCCTTCCGGATGTTTCTTTCCCGAGTGGTTTCAATAAGAAGTACATCATCTGCTGCTTTACTGCCCTTAAGAGTTGAATAAACAGCTTCCTTTTCACTGCTTGAACTAAAGCTGTTAACCAATTCCAGAGATGAATCAACACCTGACCTTTGAGCATCCCTTGCTTGATTAACATAATAACGAAGACGTTTATGATACTCTGCAAATATCTTTTCCGCTTCATCACACTGTTGATAGTAAGCATCCAACATTACCTGCTTATGCCTGCATTATGATCAAGCATATATCAATAGAGTCCACCTTGAATGACTCGGAACAAGTGTTAGTCTCATCAGAACATGCTTCACATCATTTTTAGCTTATGAAACTATTCTCAAACAAACCTTGCAAAGAGGAATAACATAGCGCCTACACTCTAAACCAGTCATATAGTTCATGTCTTTCTGATAACGATGATGATCACATATAAGAATTTTGCATACTTTCTTTCAGAAAGAAAACAAAACAAGTTTTCAACTGAATTAAATTATATACTCAGGATTATGCCAATGATCCACAAAAGCCCAAACCTTTTTTTAGAGCGTTCATCAAGCATCCTCTTCCGTTCGGCCTCTGCCCTTGAAACCTCCAACATTCTGGCCTTCAAATCCTTCCTTTGTCTCTTCACAATGTTCCTCAACTTCTCCACTTCCCTTGACGCCAAGTCCCTCTCTTGCAGCGCAGCCTCCCTAGTCTCTGCCGCACTCGAACCCTCCCCAAGCTTCTCCTTTCTCCTACCTCCTTTACTCCTTACGCCCTCCTCCTTCCCCGATTTTACCAATGCACCACTATCGCCGCCACCGCTGCCGCCGCCATGAACCGTTATATTCCTCCGAATATTCTTCACCGTATTCTCCGACTTCACGCGGGTAATCAAGAAATTCCAAATGGGTATCATATTCCCCCGGCAAATCTTCCTCAGCGAGTCGATTGAGGGCAATTGAGATTTGCTAGCAGCACTGTACGGACCCAAGGGCCGGTACCCCATTTCCTTCTGAAGCCATTGCAATATGGCTTCCGGCTGAGCCACAGAGCTCTGCGACGAGCCCTGCATTCTTTTGGATAAAATCTAGGTTTTTAGGTCTCTTCAGAAAAAGAAGAGTTTTGGGAACTAAATCACCATCCTGCGGTGAATAATAAAAACCCTAATTTCTGCACTAACGGACCGACATTGGAGCTCAAACTACTTCAAAAGCCTAACACTGACACTGAGTCTGCTCCGAGTGTGAGAATTTAGGGTTTCGAATTGCGAAAATTGGAGAGGAACAACTAGATCTGAGAGGTCGCCGGCGAAGAAATATATTCAAATTGAGAAATGCAATGCAAAGTAATACAACGGTAATTTGATCTTAAGAGGCAAGCAAGGCAACGAGAAAAAGTCTGTCGTTTATTCAAATCGAATTTACGACAAAGCGTACGGTGGCACTGCAATTTATTAGCCGGTTTAATGCTTCAAAACGACATGCGGTTGTGTGTGCAGTTTTGGAAATAAATAAATTAAGCTGACACTTAACCGAAAATATTTATTTAAAAAAAAAAGTTTGGTGTTTGGTGTTTGGTGCTTGTCAGGGGTAGTTTTGTGTTTGTCCATTTCTATTTCCTGTGAATATTTCTGGTTGAAACTATCATTTGTATAATTATGAACTTTGAAGCAATATGACCAATTTTGCAGTGGGTTTGTTGTATAAAACATAAATTAAAGGTTTCGTAATAACTTGTAGCTCAAGCGATTAAAATTAATTTTTAATTTATGCTTTCTTTAATATCTTTTGCACGAAAAAATATTTTTTTTTCCTTCCTTTTAAGCTGTCTGTCGGCAGCATACTAATTGTAGGAAGAATGCCATACAAGGCCGACATGAGAAGCAAATCTGATCTTTTACAGACCATCACAATAGTTTCAACTATGGTCATCAAGAACTATTGCCCCAACCCTACCAAAAAGGGAAATTGCCATAATGGGCGCTGTAGCATTCTTCATACCATTGTAGTTTTCGTTGGTTTTTGATGAGTTTTTACATTTATTTTTGTCAAAATTAAGAAGGAGAGGGAGAAACTCACACACACGGTTATTATGGGAAGTTTTTATATTTATTTTTATACAATAAATATTGAAAGAATAAAACTAAACACAAGATTTAACACAACTAATAAAAAGGATGATTTGATATCTCAGGTTTGAATCCTCATGACATCATAATTGTGTGTATGTGAGAAATCTCATTCCTCGTAGATTTTTTAAAAGAAAGTGATCGAATTGCATTCAAGTAGAATAATGGATTACACGGCACATGCCCTAAGGTGGCCTCATTAAAACATTCTTAGGAAAAACCCCAAATGACAAAACCTCGAAGTAAGAAAAAGTACCACACATATCAAAGATATACCAAAACCACAAGATCATAGAGAATCCTGAATAAGAGTATCAAGGAGCCAAACAATAGGAGACTCCATCCATTCAAACTCAACAACACCTTCAGAAGAGGACAGAGCTTAATGAGCTAAACGGTTTGTTGAAGAATATGAGTCCCGCATAGAAAACTTGACTAAATAAAATATAATATATAATGAATTGTTCCACTACTAATAACACCGAAGCTTTTTGTAATAAAACCCCACACCTACTGGGCTTTGTAGGTGGTTAAGTTGGGGACAATATCGGTGTTGTTGGTAGTGGGCCGATGACTCATTTCTCTGAATTTAACATGGTATTAGAGACGATTGATTGATTGTGCCTGAATTGGGTCTTTACCTTTATCCCAATATGTAGTGTTCACATGTTGGGCTTGAATGTTTACCCCTGTCTTTTACCCAATACGTGGTGCTCACGTGTTGGGCTTGAATGATTGATTCTGATGTGGACTTGGTTCCACGTGTGACCTATTATGTGATGGTCCAACGTGAGGGGGCGTGTTGAAGAATATGAGTCCCACATCGAAAACTCGATAAAATAAAATAAAATATATAATGAATGGTTCTACTACTAATATCACTGAGACCTTTTGTAATAAAATCACACACCTACTGGGCTTTGTAAGTATTTAAGTTGGGAACAATATCAGTGTTGTTGGTAGTAGGCCGATGACCCATCTCTCTGAATTTAACACAGTCAGCCACACTATTCACCTCTTGAAAAACATGCACAACACAGACAAGTGCATTATCATGCAAATGCAATTTATACTCTTCGATCATGCAAGTGCATTATCATGCGTCGCTCTCAAGACAATATATATACAGTCCCTTTCTATTGAGGGACGTTCTTTAGGGTACCCTATAATTTTTTTTTCTTCTCAATGATCCAAACTATCTATTTTTTAGGTCTTCATTCATAGATCATTATTACAAAAAATTAGACAAATCGAAAACCGTTTCAACATCCAATTGTGTCTTACAAAATCAATGAACACGGTGCTTCAAGAAAGTACTAAAATTTCAATAACTCAAATGAGTGGTCAAATCATATCGGATTCAAGTAATTTTTTGTAGAGATGATTTTTGAATGAGTATCTACTAAATAGACAGTTTGGAATAGTGAAATACAATCTGGAGTGGGGCCTACAAAGAGTGTCCCTCAATAGAAGCTCTGTATATATATATATATATATATATATAATAGTTGTACTAAGAACTCTCCCTTGTAGTTTAGACTATGACTTGTACTAAAAAAAAATTGATATATGATAATAATATCATTAAGAATTTCTTTTAAAAAATATAGAATTATTAACATCCTTAATTAAGCTGTGTCCAATAAAAAACCAACATCAGTATGGAATTTATATTTTATATTTTGTTCGGGATTGGGTTGCGACATCATCTTTCTTCTTCTTTTTTTTTTTGGTCGAGGTTGCGACATCATCATTAAAGTTAAATTCGATTGTTTATGGAATTAAAATAGGATAGATTCTTCCACCCACTGTCAGGAGAAAGATTAAGGTGTGACTTTAAAATTCCGCGCATTCATAGCTTTTATCACCGCAAAATCCAAGAGCTCAAATCAATTTGCAAATTCGAAATCCCCCATATTTAGTATCCGATTTTCGAAGCATATATTTATCCAAACATCCAATCCAAAATTCTACTCAGTTTCCGATTCCTCGGCGTCCCTGTCTCTGTCCACCCACCAAGATCAATCTCCATCTCTCTCTCCTTCCAGTTTTGTCCCACCTATCTCAGGTACTTTTTCTTTTTTTTTTCTCTTTCTCATGTGATTGTTTGAATTATTGGTCTTCTGCAGTATTTTGAATCTTCTGATTGCATCAGAATTGAGTTGATATCTGCAAAGGGGTATATTTTATTTATTTGTTTTTGCTGATGATGGGTTTTATTCTTTGAACATTCTGGTTGTAGCAAAATTTGATATTTGCAACAGGGCTTTGTTTTGTGAACCTTCTGATGATCCAAAATTTGATATTTTCAAAAGGGTCTGTTTTATTACATTGATTTTGTGTTTTTCTAGATTGATCTATTACTTTTGATCTTTAAAATTTGGATAATTGCATGTTTTCCTTTCCCAATTCTGTTATTTTATTTTCTGGAAATTTTGAATGGACTGACTTGACCTTCAATCTCTAGGCTGCTTGTCAACAAAGTAGCATATTACGATAACCATCTGTAATCTCTATGGATTTTATGCTGGTTGATATGCCTTTCTTCCTCAACACCATTGGGGAGGAAAGGTGAGAATAAGAGGAAATTTAAATTTACTAGCTTTTATAACAGATGAGGGGAAATTGAATCTTAAAACATCTCTGTTGTGAAACTTCATAATTACAATTACTTTCTCAATTTTTTCATGTTTCTCTTAATATTTTGACATATTCAACTCCATAGGAGTCATGGTATTACAGCTGCAACTGGTGAGGTGCCTACATCTTTCCCGGGGTGTATGACAATGATAATTGAATCGCTTCAAAACTATGATCTCTCTGTACCATTAAATTAGTTGACACGCATTGCATGTGTGCATGTGTTTTCTGCTTAAGTTCTAGTAGATCTGTTTAGAGGACAACTCTCTTGAGTATTAGCCTTTTCCCTTGTCAATATGGTTGTTTGAAACTTACACATGACTGTCTTCTATTTCACAGGTGAAGAATATAACCCTAGGTTATATCAGAGCCACAAAGGCGTCCAACATTGTTAGATAAAAGAGGGAGGGTACTGGTCCGCGGAGGCAGTGGGACTTCTGCGAGCTTTGTGTCCTCTCTCGTACTTGTCAAAGTACAATAATTGCTCCTAGAGATCTTTTGCTTAATGCACAAGTGGAGCTTGATTGGTTTCGGCTGATGAGAGTGGGGAACTGTTGTGGAGGTTTATTTTTAAGCTGACATAATGGGTTCTGTTTGTTGTTGTTTGAATGCTGAGGATTTTGAAGACTATGTGAATCCAAACAGTTCTGCATATAGGAACTGTATCTGTCTTAGTTGCTTTATTGAGAACTTTCTAAATGTGGTATGCCTTCATCATCCTTGCTACTGAACTAGTTAATTTTTTTTTTCAAATCATTTTTAATTCCTAAGTGCCATATAGAATGCATAATGCGTTACTATTAGTTGTTATGATGTGGGACAGAATTCTATGTTTCCTGTTTGTTAGATGATCTTGATGTTCTACTCCTCTTGTCACACTGTCAAGCTGATTGCTTTTATGTATGAAATTGAATTTTCTTTTCAACCTCATTACCAATATCTTATGGAACTGTATGCCAAAGAGCATTATTATTGGTAATTTTGCTGGAGACAGTGCTGCTTTTGTGCCCTCGCTTATCTGCTATTGTCTTGTAAGTCTTCACTGAGAGCATCTTATATAGGTTGTGAGACAATGAGAGAGAAGAATTTCTTCTTCTTTTTTTGTTTTTTGTTTTTTGTTTTTTAAGTGAAGAGTTTTCATTATTAAGTTTGATTGTTGGAACTTTAAAAAGTGTTTGCATGATTGGGGTTTTGAATGTGGGCACATATGAGTCTTCCTTTAAAGGTTAGTGATTTGGTTATATTCTTCTGGGAAGCAAAGGTTCATGCAGTTGCTTTGAGTAAGAGATTTGGCCTGTAAAACAGTTCAGCAAGAGATTTGAGTTAATTCCATAAATTACAATTTAATATTATTCGTGGAAACTTAAATCTTAAGATGGAAGAATAACCCTTTTATCTTCTCTTATTTTGTAGTATACATCATTATTCAGAAGAGGAGAAGTGCATTCGATCCCATCATCCATTCAGGGGGCTGCATCGATGATGTCCTCAGCATCACTAGACAACTCTATATCTGACATGTATCGTTCTCCTCCAAGGCCCTTGCCTTATGATGCTG